TCGATAATAATTAATTATTCAGGATTCAACGTTTAAACTTGTAGTGGAATGATCAGAGGTATTAATCGGTGAAAATGTCTCTGATATCAGATATCCCATTATTTATTTAAGCTATAATACCTGTCAAGAGTGGATTTCACACTCTGGTATTTCTCACGGACAATTAATGTCCTGCAAAATTAGACCGGATATTTCAATCTCCATGAATATGTAATATAATTCTTGAGCAGAAAGGCGCGATCAATGCCACTCCAATTCTTCCGGGAATTTGAAGTAAACTATTGCAGATTCGAAAATTATATTCATTAAATCATAATTTATTATTAAGATCTGGGGGCTACGCCGCCTGCTCGCTCCGCTCGCCAACCCCCATATGACCCCCCTTATTTGGGCCCTTAATTTGACCCTCATGACCCTTGTGACCCTTAATTTCGGAGTCTTAATTTCGAGTACCAAATTTTTATCACCAGACGTCGATTTGGATTTTTATAATATAGAGAGATATGGAATGTAAGCTCCTAATACACTGATGGAAAATGTCAACTTCACAAAATATCTCTCATATCATAATCCTCATTACTCATTCAAGCTGCAATGCCTGATAAACTCTCACTTTAATCTCTGTGATTTCACATAGATAATTGATATCCCCCGAAAACTAGAGCAAATTTTATTGCCTGCATAAAATTATTCCAAACATCATGAAGATTCTCCAGAGGAGTGACACGAGCAATGAAATTCAGTTAATGGGGTTTATTTCATTCACCAGAGCAGCGATAAATTTTCGCCATCATCTTTTCAATCATAAAATTCCATTAGCCTCAAATAATTGAGATATCCCCATCACGCTGTATCCCACCCATCGCCGGGGCCGTCCAATTTAACGAAATCCCCCAAGGATGTGTTAATCTCAAATTTTAGACGTACAGATGTGTAACCGGAATCGTCTGATGTTTTTACGACACTCGAGTAATTCAAAGCCTGTTTCACATTAAATTTATTCTTCTCTGTTTCAACGTAAACCAACAAGGTTTCACGTGCCTTTTTTCTTCATTTCTCTCCCACAAGAATAACAGAAAAATAAAATAAAACGACAGATGAGGAGGAGAGTGTCTAGGAAGAAGCGTGCGATAACGTCACGTTCCTAAACCTGTGTCTCGTAATTAAGACTTAAACTAGCCTCGAGCATTTCCCCCCTCCTACTTCACCTCTAGCAACTCGGTTATCTTATCGCGACGCGTCCCCAGCCGTATATGGTCGTGTCTTATTTCCAGTCACAAGGCATCGACCCAAAAATCAAAGTGCCTAGAATGCTCCTCCTCGAGTGAAATGAGAAAAAATATCGAGAGATAAAAAAAATGAGAAACTGTTTGAAGATGCAGGCGCCCTTTTTATCCACAGCAGCGTCACTCGATGGGCGACGAGTGGCCTCGTTTGTGGTCTTGATGAATCGGCATCCGGTTACACTAGAAAGATAATCCAAGTGGCAAAATCTGTTTTTTCGAGTTTACTCTCAGTGCTTCAGGCTGGTTAGATTGTATTTCAGGCATTGAGTGGGTATTATCTTTTGTATGGAAAGATGAACTTTCTTATACATTTTGGTTGAAAGAAATTATTGAAGAAGTAGTTTTGATTGTTGATGAATTAAGGATTTAATTAATTTGCTCTTAATTGTTGGAAATACATCAGATAATGCTTCATTCCTCCTATTTTCTCGTTCAAAAAGATATTTCATGTGCGAAAAATCTCGATAAAAAATGAAACCTTAAGTTGTATCAAAAACTCTTGACAAAACCAAAATTACGAATGGAAAATGAATTATAAAAAAATTATTGAAAATTCAGAGTTTAAATTCTTGAAGGACTGATCGGGTATATTAATTCAATCAAATGTCCCTGTATTTTCTTTCTAAGAATATATTACAAATACAAAGAATAGTAAAAAACAAATTGACAATTATTAACATAATTAATAAATTAAGGATTAAATGAATTTGTTATTAAATGTTCGAAATACATAAGATATTATTTTATTCCTCGAATTTTCCTTCTGATAATATATTTCGCGTATAAAGAATATTGATAAAAAAATTGTAGTCCTCGGCTAAACAAAAATTTCGAATAGAGAATTAAACCCTTCATTATACAAATCATGAAAAATTATTGAAAATTCAAAATTTAAACTAAAGATGAAACAAAAGAACATTCCAAACCCCATAATTTCAATACAGATAATTAATTCTCTGAAAACACGAGCAAAACTTTTAATTCTCACAAAACCGTTACCATTAATTGTTAAAAATCCAGCTACCACTTCATTCCTCCGAAGTGTTCCTTCCAAGTACATATTCCACGTACAAAAAATATTGATAAAAAAACAAAGCCATCAAAAGTATCAATAACCCTTGGCAAAGAAAAATTGCGCCCCAAAAAAATCAAGAAAAGAATCATCAGCCCAAAAATATTATTCCTGAAGATGCCAACCTCAATAACCCTCATATCCCCAGATGATCGCGCGTAAACAAGTCCATCGAAGCCACTAATACGCCAACACAACTGATACCTGACGTCGAAAAAAACACGGGTATCATCTCCACCCGAAATAATACACCAATGAGCGAAAAAATTTCCGGTAGTTTAGTCAAACTGAAAAACTTGCCGCAATGTATCGGCGCGCAAAGGCATCAATGGGGCGCCCCGGCAGCAGATGCTGGAGTGTTTGACTATACCGTGTGCTCGGCTTCTGCATTTCAAGTGCAACCGTGCGCGATTAACGCACTGCGAAGACGAGGACTCGAAGGCTTCGTTATTTTGATAGCTTCTGCTTCTTACATGATCACTGGTGCATTCCGTATACATAACATGAGGAAGTTGAGTGGTCATGAAGGAAGCCACCATCTCCATTGGGTGGTTGAGGTATTGGACCCTTAGTGGCACAAAACGCGGGGGTTGCCCATTGCTACGAGGGCTTACGTGAACTTTTATTAGGGCGGATGAGGCCAAAGCCGCCGCAGACAACGACACCACTTTTGAATCGTGCTTTCGAGCATGTAATGGAGATAAACGCTTCGGTAGCTCTTCCTATCATATTCTATCGTCGTATCTCTGCTGGCTCCTTCGGCATGTGGCTCCACCATTTTTGGAGATATTGTCGAATTTAACAGGGAATTTACTCCCGAATTATTTAGCAGGGAAACTCTCGTTTCCCTACTATTCCAAAATTTTAAAAGTCGTGAAGTGTTCCACATTTTTACATTAAAGGAGGTATAGTATATTTTCATCACGCTGTGACGAAAAGTGAACTTTTCGGCACGCTCCGCGTGCCTAAACGTCCAATTTCCGCCACATTGTGATGAAAACTATTGTTCGTAACTCGTGAAAAAATGTTTTTTAGCTCGTGGGATTATATGAGGGAGGGAAAATAAAGGATCCTCAGCCGCCAGTGCAATTACCAGCCGAGGCGAAGGCGAGGTTGGTAAGCAGGCGGCTGAGGGTCCTTTATTTTACTTCCCGTGGTTAGAACGCGATTTTCCGTCTCGGCGTAGGCGCAAAGTCAGAGTTCCCTCCCGCGAAGCGGGAGGGAAATGTAACTTTGCGCCCGCCGGGACGGAAATTTATATAGCGTTCCACATCTTTGTGGCGACATAGGAAATGATTGGATGGGATTTGGATGAGGTAGGAGGGGAACCGGGATTTTTCTCAATATGAATAACCAGAAAATTTTTTACTGAAAAAAATGGGTAGTCCAGACCGGGACCTCAGGTCCCGTGTGAACACACGTCATCTGTACATCTGTGCATCTCAACTCACGTGGCTCGAGGAGGATCTCATACTTTAAAATTCTTGAGTTTATTCATTCGCTCTATTTTAGAATTTAGTAGAGTTCCGTGAAGCACAAATTTCACGAAAATTTAGATTAATGTTTTCATTGATTTTAAATAAACTCGAAATTCAGCGTAATTTGGTACTGAATATTCGTGTTCTCATTGGAATTTCAAGTAAACAGGGAAACTCTCGTCTTCTTACTATTTGAAAATTTAGAATTCGATTGAGTTTTCGATGAAATTTCGAATTTTATTTTTTCCACTTGAATCGAATTCAGTGCCATTCTTCAGGTATCATTCTTTGAAGTAATTTTAGTTCTTTAAGTTTATGTGTAATTTTAGTTCTTTATTCTTTCAGAATGGGTAATGCAATTAGTTGATATTGATATACGATACACAGAATTTTCTTCTGGGTTTTGTTTAATGAGGACTAAAGATCCTTCCAGGTCAGTGGATGGCACCTGGCGGTGATCGGGAAATGAATACGCGTGGATCCGTTACACCTGGTGGTTGAATTTACGCTCCTTTGGGTGTCGCGAGTGGTAAATTGTGTACGTTCGTATTAAAATGGGGCATTGAACTGAATATCTCGATTTTTCTGTGGAATTATCTCGAGAATGAATGACTTTTGATGGAAAAAATATAAACTATAAGGTTTTTGAAAGCCATGTGGATATTTTGTGATAAGATTTTAAAGAATTTGCAGAAAAATCAATGAAAATTGTTAATTTTTTTCAATTGTTCTACAAAAATCGATAGAAATCAGGAAAATATATTCTTGAATTTTTACTAAAGTCATTTTTCGATTGAAACTTCAAGTGAATTATGCAATTTTCACCCTCTTGCTGTTTAAGAATGTGGAATATTAAATTTCATAATTGTTTCCCCTAAATTCAACATCACTCTTCTCAAAATTACTAGTTTACTGCCCATGAAAATTCAATGTTTTGTGTAACAGTGTAATTAGTAAACTTTGAAAGAAATAATTTTTGATCCATTGCTCATTCCTTCTCAGGAACAATAGCTTTATTAACTTGGATGTTCCACTCATCAAACATTTATTCTCACAAATGTAAATGTAGGTGGATGTAATTCTTCGGATATTGCCAATATCCTAAAACACCCAATAGAATAAAAAGTATTCCAAATCATACAATTTCAAAATTTTATTTTTCAATACTAAAAATACAGATTCAATTCCTGATGAATAATTTCATCATCTCAGACAGCTCAATCCTTCATACAACCGAAGGCGACATAATTATCTTACATTTCTACGTCCAAAATAAAGGAGAATTCGACGTTCAATCGTCTCAATAAATCGATCGACTGAATAAATTCGAGAATGCCTCGAGCGTTATATCACAGGTACACAATCTTTCATTAGATTCTTGGAAAAGCCATTTAAATATGTTATCATGCACAGTTAGTCGATTCAGTTATCATCAGTGTCAGTCGTTTCAACAGCAATAGGGTTGTTCCCCCTCTTCCTTCGTCTGACATTCTTGGAGGCAGCATCACCACCAGCATGATTAATCTCATGAACTATTTCGTCCTTGGATCTGTCATCAATCTTGGATGAATTTCGCAGAGACTCTCCTTTTCCTAATGAAGAATTCATTTGATCTGCGTCACCACCAGGAGAACGTCCCAATTCCTTCAGCGGCTCTGATTTTTTATCTTCTATTTTCGGGAGCTGCTGACTACCTCCGCTGTGGGTAATTGCCGCTGGTCCTGGGGTATCTGTCGACACCTGAAATATTGAATAATTAATCCTCTGGGATCTCCTCATGGAGCAGATGGAGGTGGAAATTTCGTGACGTTTCAGTACTTTTAAGTTCAAGATAACTTCGATGGGCTCTCTCATTCCCTTACTGGTAATATTCCTGGGAGCTTGGTGAGAGTGTCCTGTTCTCATGTTCCAGAGGAATGAAAATGGACTCAGTGCGAGGGATTTGAAGAATGTACTCAACACAAAAACTATTCCTATTATTACAGCTGCGATTGTTGCAATGAGGAGCAGGGGCTGGAGAATCCACTGGACTGGTGACGACATGCGATCTAAATGAGAAGGAAAAATTAACGACAAATCATCTAATTTCATAATTTTAACTACAACTATAACTCAACAGAAGAATTAATGAGTGAATTTTTTTTTCGTCTTTTTACTGAATTTTCAGTGAAATCTAAAATTTTAATTTGTTTATTATAACAGTGGAGATAAAATACAAGAGTCAAGTGAATATATGGGGAATAATGTGGGACTCACGTGTGGAATGATAAACAAAATCAGCAAAAGCTCTTCCGATTAATCCAGCTGGCTCCAGAATCAATGTACCTATTACTCGAGATAATACTTGAGCTGGGGTCACATGGAATCTGTGGTCTTCCATCACTGCTTCGTAATATTGGATACAATGGTCATCAGAAGCTGGAAAAATCAATGGATTTTATTAGCTTCATTCCAATTTTTCATCGTTCATGAAAGTTTATTTTTATGGTTTTTTTCATCTTTATGGCGCTACTTACTGAAAAATGAGAAGAGTTTCTGATACCAAGACATTTTATGGGGCTGACAGTTCGCTGGCATTTCGTTGAAACGAAACTGCTTGGCTGTCAGTTTTATTTCCGCTTCCTGAAGGAGAAGAGAAAAAAATCTTTGAACTAGAAATTACTTGACGAATTTTTTGATATAATTATTAGATTAAGTTTTACCTTTAGAAGTTGGAGGTATGTGATAATGAAACTAGCAATAAATACAATGACTAAAAACATGAAAAACATCTTGAAATACGTCCATGTGGTTCTCACTAGCAGCCACATGAGCTGCACCACTGCGACAAATGCAAGAATAAGTTCTTTCTGTAAGAAGAAATGTCATTAAAACTTTCATTCAAAAAGAATGAAGTGCATTGTTAAAAGAGTTGGCTGTAATTTCTGATAGACTTCTTGAAATTTTTTATCACGTCATAGTTTCTTTGAAATTTCAAGGAATTTCATCATTGAAAATTCAAAATTTTGTGGGACAATTTGTGAAGACTAAATTCTAGATCAATTATCCATTAAAATTGGTAAAAATCAAGAAAAGTCAGCATAATTTGAGGCTGAATATTCATGTTTTGATAGAAAACCCAAAGAAGTTGGGGAATTATCGTTATCCTGGTGCTCAAAACTTTAAAGTTTCAATGAATTGAGTGACATTGACTAAAATTATCAGTCAACTGTCCATGGAACTGTAATTTTTTTTCAACAATGATGTGAATTACTCACGTATGGCCAAATGTATGAGGAATAAACCCCATGGGTTCTCAATGAGAAACCCTGCAGTATTGAGTAAATATCCATAAAAACATTTGTCTTTGGGGCACGAAAAATATTGGAAATCATGGCATCTATGTCTCGCACTGTGGCCTTACCAAGACCGAAGCTTTTCAGTCTTAATAACTCGGCCCTCGTCAGCTCTATGACGATGTTACCGATGAAGAGATCGTCATCTTCCTAAATTTAAAAAGGAGGTAAACACATTTCACGAATTCATTGAATCTAATAACAAGGAAAGGGTCTCGAAATTCTATTTCAAATATCGATGGACTGAAATGTAAAATTGTGATGGATTCTGAAGACAACTATTCCCTTCATAACTCACCTCAAAAGTGGCTATTGATAACAATTTATTGATTAATCTACGTGAGAACAGTTCATCAGGAACGTCTTTTAAATTCCCCCTGAGGCAATCATTAAACATTTCCCTACAAGTTGGTGACTGTGATTGTCTTTTGACGGATGCAACTGCTCTCTCCACTTCCTTTTGGTCATGTCTGCTGTAATAAAAGGAGTGCGGGTCCACGTAATCCTGTTTGCTCCTGAAAACCCCAAAAACCTGAATTTTCCCTGTTCGAATCGAATGGATAAAAACAAAACAATACAAGAGATTCAGTGTGAACATAATTTCTGGAGCATTAATTTGAGGTTATAATATTGTTGTGTTGTTGTTGTGCACTCACATCGGATCAACAGTCTCGAGAGCCTTATCGGAATGTCCCACCGCACATCCCCAAACAAACATCCACAGGAGGAAACAACATCTCGTGTTGATAAACATTGTGTGAACTAATCTTTGGAGTGTGGCACTAGTCTATTTTCTACGATGACTACTCACTCTATGACGGATTTATTACGAGATTTGGTGGACACCCCGGCTAAACACACACGTCCACGTCGAACACATGACCAATAAACTCGTGAAATATCAACAAAAGCGAGGAAAAACGTCAGTGTGTTAGTGATTAGGGCGGTGAGGTTAGTTACAATTTACAAATTCGATTATCGAGGGAGCGAAAGCGGATTTAGGGACCTCCGGGGCTGCTCGGGAGGTTTTCTGTGAAGTCGACGAGTGGTAAGTACTCAATGGATATCAGAGATTTCTGTACGTTTGCTGAAATGG